ATTATAATAAAGATTTTTGTTATATATATACTGAGATTGTGAATTCCCGTTTAGTAATACTGCTTTGATAAAGCTATTGGCATTAAATAGCGAAACGTCCGTAAAGCCAGCAATATAGTTTTGTTTTTCATTCATTGGGAAATACAAAAACCTTTATTATAATGAATTCTTATTGCTTTATATAAACATATTAGTCAGAAAAATATTATTCAAAATTCGAATTCTGTGGTAAGCTCCATAATCTGTAGACTTTTGATTACATCCTTCACTGGGTTATGGAAGCGCAGTACTGGAGATTCGCGAAGTAGAATGAAACACCGGTTTGGGCTCCTCACATTTCAATGCTACTCTGACTTATGTTGCATCATGACAAAATCAATATTGGAATCAGTCATTTTCTTTAGAAATTGAACATCTAAACCCTTCTTGATATAATAAAGTATAATTATGTTTCAATAGTTAACACACAATGATAAGTTTTGTTATTGGTAATACTTCGAGCAAAATAACTGCCCGTGATCACACCACTGTTGGAATTGTTTTGTTCACACATTTATGATTTGTACTCATATATTTATAGTTCATTTTTGTGCATTCAGAATTATATTCCAGGTTGTTGACTGTTGTACTGCCGAGTCACCCTTGTCACATGTATCCGGTGTGACCTTAATGAAAAATATAGATTTTGTTATAAGTCTGCCTTTCCATTTGTTCATGTTAGTTTTTAGAATACACACATTGTTGCAATCGATATTGTGGCTTTTGTCCCATACATGTGCAGCTATAAATGAATTTTTTTCTAAATTCGTGTAAGCTTGCGTTCCTGTTGTTTGACCTTTAGTTAGTCAGGCGTTTATGTTCATTCACTCTTATTTTGAGTGATCTGGACGTGTTTGACCCACATATTTAGTCGGATACTCAGCATATGATATTTTGTAAATCGCACTGTTTTTTATCCATCATTTTTGTGGGATCTTTCAGTTGTATCTGCCCAAACCAAGTTCACTTTTAACAGTTTGAAAAAAATTGAACATTGAGTATATGATATTCATCATAATAAAGATTTCTGTATTTCCCAATGAATGAAAAACAAAACGATATTGTTGCTTTTACTAACGTCTTGCTATTTAATACTAATCGCTTTATCAAAGTATTATTAAACCGGAATTTATAAAATCTCAGCATATATACAACAAAGAGTTAAGGGGTGAGAAAAGAGACTTAGGTCAAGTTAAATTAAGAGGACATATTGAAAGTCAAAATAACAATGAAGATCACTAAACCAAATAACAAAGGTAATAGTACGTCTGTTATGATATTAAAATAAAGTTTACTAAATTGATCATCATTCGTTAGTCTGGGGTCATTTTTCGTTGTCAAGTTGGTCAATTTGTTTGGATAATAAAATCAAGTGTAGGTCGTTAGATTTGATCAATGTGTAAAATTATGAAAGCAGTGTGTGTTTACATAGTGAACTTGCTTATCACATTTGTGTTGATTTTGCCACTTCATGGGGAGGGGAGGGAGGTGTTGTAACCAGGTCAGATTCTGTTTGAGTCTTTCAGTTGATTTATTTTGTTTTTAATTAGATTCGTCGGCTTAAACGTTGTGCGAATCGCAATATTTTTGAGGTTTCTTCGAATTGCCTCTGATGTACCACTTTTTTATGGTATTGTGACTGCTTCTCGCGTTCTGTCGTTTTCCGGTTTTACCTTCTTTTTCTCTCTCTTTTATATTATCTTTGATAAATTCTTTTGGGTAGCTGTTTTCGAGTAACATTTTGAATAGAAGGTTAACTTCTTTACGCTGGTCCTCTGGTGTTGTTGTAAGTCTACGTATTTTCTCTGCAAGACGTTGTATTAATCCTCGTTTTACCGTGAGTGGATAAGCTGAGTGATAATCCAGGAATCTTCCAGAGTGTGTAGTCTCTCTATATAGCGTCGTTTTTATGCCACCTACCATCTGTTACTCTTTGTGTTTTGCAGTCTAACATAGGCAGTTCCCCAGCGTTTCATTCTCTATTCCCATATTGTGAATTGTATTCACTCGATATGACTGTTTATGTGTGTGAGAAGAATTTCTCAACACCGTTCTTTTTCATTATTACTAACGTGTCGTCTACACATATCTCCACCAGCATTTTATTGATGACCTGAATGGTTTAAGTGCACTCTCTCCTCCCAAAAATCCATGAATATGTCAGCTATTATCGAACATGTTTATTTCTTTTACATTTCTTCACGTTTTGAATAGAGCGGAGGACTTTATGCTCTCAAATTTCAGCATCGATGATGTTTTTTTTTTAACGGGGTGGGATTTTAGTCTCATACTCTAGCTCAAAGTTCCCTGTCTCAAAGGCTTACTATATATAAGCTAGAAAACTCGACAGGATTCATAAATATCTCGGCCGGGAATCGAATACTCTACCATGTGCGCGGTTAGCAAACACCTTAATAATAACTGACTGAAATTATGATAAGTTCCTGCTTTTATTTTTTTCAAATTTTCACGTATTTCTCCCTACTGTATTTTAGACTGTTTATTGGACAGGTGATCACATTCCAATAAATGTTATTTTTCAATGTCATCACATCATTCTTTGTGTTCAGTTAATCGATTAAACAAAATTTTTGACTAAAGCTCTACACGACATTAATTTTTAACTGGGCATTGAATATGCAATTTTTGTTTTAATTCATGGAAAAATAATTTGCCCGCGTTTAATGAATGGTCTCTATACGTTTTGTATAAAACGATGATTGTCAACATGTTAACATGATATTGAATCGAATTTAAGTGAGAAAAGAAGCTTAAAATGGCAGATAGTTCTAGCAAAGATTAGATTCAATCGTTAGGAATGTTAGTCAGCAAGAATCACTGAAATTCAGCGCTGCTTTCTTGTCTCCCCTCCTCCCCAGTTCATTTATTTATTTATTTAAATACACTTTTTACATTATGAGTATCAAGAGAATGCATGAAAAAGTAGAACATATAATGCGCACTAATCACTTTGTATTATTTTCAGACGTATAGGAAAGCAGGAAACTATAGTACATTCCCCAGTGATTGCGTTTCTTAGCCGAATTCGACAACGTCTTGAGACAATGTTTCAAATTGTCTTACGAATCCATATCCCGGGATGCACCACCAAGTGTTAGCCTAACACAACTATCTTGCTTCCCACAGCGTTATGTTAAAGACGGGCTATTCTTCAGTTTGTCCATCCCATTGCAGGGCTAGCAAATGAGGAATAGACAGTGTGGCAGCCGCCTGGATGAAATTCATTCAAGTCAGCAAAGCCTGTATTCTAAAATGACAACATTTGTTAAAAAAATAGTCTTCAGCATGTCCAACCACATGCTGGTGGAGCTCAGAATTACGTACATGCTGACACCATCGAATCTAAGAAATTCCACAGAGGCAGGGATGATTGAAAGTACAAAGTTACCAGGCATTCTTAGCTAGAGTCCGCCAGGTTTGACAGCTGTAGGGCAATACTATGCATCAGGAGCACTATAATTCTAACCGTTTACGGTCAGACTAACCTCACTATCACGCCAAAGTTGGTCCAAGGTGGCTTATACCTCCTTCACTTCCACTATTTTGTTAGGGATCTCATCTGTCTTGACAGCTTTCACACTACAAACCAGATAAATGAAGGGTTCAATTGTCAGGATAGGTGTGGGTACAGGCTGCTATCAATCTTCAAGCGAGTCTTGCTATTTGATGAGACAAGACACATAGCATACTTGCAGATATTAATCGCATACTTGAGATCAGAAAGCATCTCTCTAAGAGACAGATCTCTACTATCACCTCCACTCTCATCTTTCAGAGCTGTCCTCAGAATGTCATCGGTGGTAAAACTGAAGAAAAGTGGTGAAATTGAGCAACCCTTTATAACTATGCTGTTGGCTGAGAACGATGCTGATAGCTGGATGTCAGCGATTTGTATGACTTCTGATAAACGAGTAGCTTCATCTGCATAACGCTGTCATTTAGCCTGTATTGAACTCGCTCTTTGCCGTCTACCACAAATCAAAACATTTCTAAAGCTTCCTCTGTCAGTTATAAAACGGTGTATTTGCTTATGACAAATGCTCGGTGAAGACACACTACAGTACCTCAGGATTCTGGATTTCACCTTTAGTTCAGTATTCATACACCTCTTTTCACTTCAGTAACCCTTGGCCGATGACTTATATGGTTATATGAATGCTTTGTCAGGATTACTGGGTCCGTTACAGCTCCATCCTGACTGTCATGCATACAGCATACATACTACTGTATTCAGTGTCCAGCCTTGCTAAATATTCCAGGCAATCAGAGGTCCTTCAACCCCACATGAAGCTAAAGAAGTGTCCCAAATTTATGCTGGGTGTTAGTTAATAAGTGTCGTATTGATGGGTGTTGGATTTTTGAGTAGTCCATCGTGATGACAACCAAACATTCTAATTTGCACCGGAAGGGGGAGGCGGGTCATTCGTCTACTGGTATACGGTAAAGCAAGCTTAGTCAGTAGATATATATAGAACTCACTGGTGGCCACTTACTCTATTTGTAACCGAAAGGAGTCCTCAGGAGCAACTTCCGTTTGCCATGAATTGTATGTAAGACTTAGGACACATACACCATGGGTACACCCTAATATGTCTTAGGAAATGATATCAGTGCCGCGAATGTACATCTCGCCAACGCAGTAAACTACACTTAAAATGTCAGGCTTCCTCACATGCCTTTGTGAAGAGCTACGTAAGACGAACATGTCATTGGCGGGCTCAAGATACCGTTGCTAGTATCAGAAGCAAATTTTGCTCAAGATTGTGATAATTATTGATCACCTGGGGCTCTCGTCAGGCTCTCATATAAATCTAAAGGGCTACCCCACTGTCAATCATACACATGAGTTTGAGCGTATTTAATTATTAGACACAGCACTGAGTACTATAATTAATTATCATGTTTAACTAACATCTTCTGTCTTCTAATTTCTGACTCAGGTCAAAATATCCAACTTCAAAGGGGATCTAATTCTTCGCATCAAAAGAAAATTGTGTAATTCATATAAGCCAGTAACTAGTCTCATCAAAATTTATGAAACCGGAAGAATTCAAAGAATCACCTGAAAAGTCTGACAGTGTTGTTGTGGAACAGGCCAGTGTAAATGATAATGTCATCCTGTCCACAGATCGTAAGCACAGATGTTCTGAGGGGGATGACGATAATGACAGCAGCGATCAAAACAGCACTGGACCAAGCCAGCCAAAACGTCAGTGTTTATCTGCCTCTTACGACATCAATATTGATAATGTTGTGAAGGTGGATCATGAATTCCAGTATTGGTTTGTGTTCACTGTAGTGACAGCCGGTAGACAAGGCAGTGAATTGGGGTCGGATCAAACTCCACTTATTCAGTTCAATGGAGTACTGGGAGACTTCTACGCTAATAAAGTAAGTGAATTAATTATTTTTTCAATAAGTGTCACATACTTGAAATAAATGGTGAAATGCCTATTACTCATGAGGATGTCTAACTCTGACAGCTGCTGAACTATTTTGCTAAGTTCCGCGTTGAGATTCATTCAGTCAGTTGGTTGTTGTTAGAAGAATTCGACCTATTTGGGCAGATTTCTTTTTCATGTGTGATACCAATAGTTTCCCAAGCTGAGACGAGGTTCAAATCCACGGATGGCTCATTGGATGAATATCGATTGCGCAATATGCATTAGATGCATGGTCAATTTGTTAAGGATATCTTCAGTTGGCTAATAATGAACACTTCTCATTGAAATTTTGACATCAGTCAGTCATATCTCTTGGCGGTATATGTTCCATTGTTCTTTTGCTTCTTTTCATTGGTGTAAGTCACAATGAATTCTTGATGTTATTTGTCTTCGCAAAGCAGGTTGATTTAGTTGTAAAGCCTTCACTGTCTTTTGTAGTCAACACATCCTCGGTGCATGCATAAACTTGAAGTGAGCTTTTAGACTTCCTGTTGAGTTTACAATCCATCTTTTCTGGTAACCATGAATGTGACTAGTTATTTCTGAAGATTTTCCCACCGTCGAGTTTATTTTTCTGATCTGAGATCTGATCTATTTTCCCATCTATCTTAATTTTTTATTGATTGACAGGTCCTATCTCTATCACTGCGTCGGTGGCACGGCGGTAGAATGCTCGCCAACCACGCCTCATGTGGTCCGGGATTTGATCCCCACCACTGCTACCGAAACTTCAAGTCTGTAGCTTAAAGCCCTCGCTATGTTTCACTTAGGACGGAAAGGAAAAAATTCCGTATCAGTGTGACTGCTGATTGCAGATTTGGATTAGTACTGGGTGTTTCTAAACATTCCCTGGCATATTTATGTTTCATTTGGCCACGATATGCTTTTTTCATTCCTTTTTTTAGCTGTGGTTAGACCATAAGGCTTTAGGCTTTTAACTCTAAACTTTCGCTAGCAGTGATGTTTCTTCTTCATTGGGTGAGGTTGCCAGCCTCACGCCCAACCTTTCTTGTTTTAAAAGACATACTGCCGGAGAAATGAGCTTTAAGAGTGCATCGGTCAGGGATCGCATCCCCAACCACATGCTTGATTGGTGAGCATTCCAGAAATGAACCACTGACGCACGTCTACACCACATGCAAATTTTCAAAATCGAACTGGTGTCTGTGGTTGCAGGCTTTCATTGACATGAAGGAACGGATCTCATCTCTTTTGGCAACCAGTTTATTTTCGTCGGATAGGACTATGAAGAGGGTGTACATTCTACCCACTGTAATATTTTTTCTTCACAGTTATCACAGTTCATCTTGTAGACCAGAGTTGAGTCTTTTAGCTGATTTAGGGGATTTCTTTGGTTTGTTGGCGATATCAATTCCGAAAGGTTTCAGTAGTCTTACAGGGATTTCACAGATGTTTTTTATATCTATGGTAAGACGATTTTCTTTGTGCTTTCATCGGATACTTATGAGCTGGTCAGCTGAGCTATTGTCATAAAAATATAGAAAATTATTGAGTTCAGTTCCGGATAACTTGTAATGTTCTCCACCCTGCTGACTATGTCTTCATAGATTTCGAAATCACTCGTGTGATAATTAATAATCAGTATAAATTCAGGATAAAAGGAATATGAATTTATCGCTTCCTGAAGTTTAATCGAGTTTATTCCACTAGGTTAGTTCGCTGTTTTACGGTATGCATTTTGACTTCGAATTGTCATATTACCTTTCCAATAACGTGGACAGTCTATATCGACTGAATTCTCTGATTTACGTGGTGTTAACTTCTGTAGTCTTGTATAGAAAGAAATATTTTACACACTGAAATTTAGAATTATCCAATTATGAAGGTAGGGATGTCCTTGACTGACGTGAAGAACCTAGACGACCTGAATTTCGCGGATGATTTATGTTTGATGTCACACAAAATCGAAGACTTACAAGCGAAAACCGACAAACTGGTCGAAGAAGCAGCCGGTGAAGACAGGACTCCAGGTGAACATAGACAAGACGGAGGTTGTGAAAATAACCAACCAACCAACCAACAACAACAACAGCAACATCCAGCGCCAATCACCATCAACGGGAGGGATTTGAAAGAGGTTACTTCATTCACTCACTTATCTAGGGAGCACTGTCTCAACTACAGGCAGTCGGAACGCACGAGGATGTCAAATCGAGCGAGAATCGGGAAGGCAGACGAGAAACACATTCATCAACCTGAAACCAATCTGGAAATCTTCGTCACTCAGCATCAATGACAAAATTCGGATCTTCAATACAACCGTCAAGTCATTTCTTCTATACCTTTACGGATCAGGGACTTGGCGGGCGGGTCACAAAGAATATTTCCAACAGCCTATTGCAGACCTTACCTTTATCAACAACTGTCTTCGCTGGCTCTATACTGAAGATCAGATGGCCGGGCCGGAGAGAATCACCAACAAGAAACTATGGCTGGGAACAAACAAAACAAGAACCCATCGCCAACCAACAAATAAGCCGGAGAAAGTGGAGATGGATTGGACAATCGTGGCTGAGGAGGTCGGGCCGCTGGGTGACATCGCGCGCGTGTCAAGTCATTGCTCGAGTGGAATCCGAAAGGGAAGCGGCGAGTGGGTCGTCAGTGCAAGGGTGACATGGAGGAGATCATGTGAAGAGGAAGTGAAACAGTATGGACTAACTAACATTGATTCAAGTGAAAAGTACAGCAGAAGGAAGACAGAAGTGGCAAGTGGAGACGTACAGCTGAAGCCCTATGTTCCACTAGGAACCCAAGGGAACAATAATACTAATAGATTATGAATTTTCTCTTCCTTGATCGATTTTATTTCTCTGGATATGTCCAATCTCTTCTGACATGTCAGCACCTACTACGGCCTCTTTAACAGTGTCTAGATGACCAACATGATCTTATTTGGATGACAATGGCTAAAAGTGGAATTCAGTATGTGGATTTCGTCCTATATAGGACTCGTTATCTGTATGTACCTTCATCTCCGTTGAATGGTGGCGGTCTCACTGAGACTCGAACACAGTACATACTGATCTAAATATAAAAGTGTCATCTTCTAAGCTACTAAACCACTAGGGACGCCACCTCTTCTTTGGCATCTTAAATGATGAGTGCTGGGTACGAGTTTTAGGGGATAACTCTACGGTTTACTTGAGTGTGTGTGGGTACATCCATTTGACGAGTACAAAATAGAAGGAAAAGGGGCTTTTTGGATTTTAGTGCTGATCACTTTAAATCAAATAATGGGAATGAGTATTATTTTATGGAGCTTTCGTTCATCAGTCAAACCAGTCAATTTTCTAACCAGACGGTAAGTAGTTCAAAGATTAGTTGACTTATCCAGGTGACCACTTCGGTGTCACTGAACCTTAGAGGAGCTGAATTTCGCCCATACATGATTTATGTTCAGTGATACACAAACTCGAAGACTTACAGGTTAAAACCAATAAACTCGCAGAAGAAGTAAGCAGGTGGCGAAAAAACAGCACTCCATGTGAACATAGACAAAGCAGAGGTGATGAAGATAACCAACGGACCACCACCACCACCACAACAACAACAACAACAACTAGCACCAATCACCATTACCAACGGAAGGGATTTAACAGAGGTCACCTCCTTCACTTATATGGGAAGCACGATTTCAGATACAGGCAGGCAATTGGAACGGATAAAGGTGTCAACACCAACCAGTCAGAATCGGAAAAGGCAAGACAGACGCCTTCATCAACCTAAAATCACTTTGGAAATCTCCTGTTCTCACTCAGCCAGCGTAAAGAACAAGATTCAGATTTCCAACACAGATGTGAAGTCAGTCAGTCACTTCTTTTAATAGGGGTCAGAAACTTGGCGTGCGTGTTATGAAAAGGATTTCCAACAGCCTGTTACCGACTTTTATCAACAGCAACATGCCTTCGCTGCCTCGATATCTAAGATCAAATGGCCTGTTGGAAAGAATTGGCAACTGAGAAACCCTGCAGTGGAACAAACCAACAAGTAAGAGCCGACCGCTCAACAGATATGTAGGAAAAAGTGGAGATGGATTGATCAGGTATACACTGACGAGACTGTCAAATGACATCGCGCGCAGCCAGGCCATCTCTGAGTGGCACCCGAATGGGAAACGACGAGTGGAGAGTCTTTCTGAGGGCGACATGGAGGAGATTGTGTGTTGAGTAGAATGAGATGAGAGATTACGACCAATTATGGACTCGACTGAAGAGGTTGACGGAAGACAGGACACAGTGGATATGCGTTGTTGAAGCCGTCTTTATCATCCCCTCGGAAACCAAGGGAACAATAAATAATAATAAATGGCCCTATTGATTGTTTAGTGGGGTGGGGGGTGGGGGAAAGAATGTTCACCTACTTTGCGTGTTATGCAATCAATGTGGTACTGTAAGAAAAGATTCAACACTTGTGGGAATAATAAAGTAAACGTCTATACCCTGGTTGAATAAAATTTTATTTTATCTGGTAACTGGTAACTCGAGAATTTCATTTTATCAATCACATTTTTCTAAGCAAAGAGGGAGTATTTATTATACATCAGGACAAATGGTTCCGAATGGAACATCGAAGCAATAATTTGACATTAGTAACAGTTAGTATTATTGATCTAATTTTGTTACACTAGGCTGAAGCACCTAGTTTGCCAGCTGCTGACAAGCTCAAAAAACGAGGGAAAGTCGCGAGTGAGGCTTGAAACCTTACATCGTTACCGTAACTTCAAACAGTGAAGCCCAGTGTTCCTCTTAGAATGTAATGAATGAGAACATTGAAATTCATGGATCTTTGGGATGGCTTCCAGAGTCTGAATAGCATTTGAGCTCGTTTGGTAAGTAGAAGACCGTAGGTCTGGATCTAGGTGGCGAGTACCTGCAGACGTGAAGCAGACTCCTAAACTATGGGAAGGAAACAGCTGGCTGTCAAGTACTCTCTGTCGGTTTTCAATGATTCTCTAGTCGACTGGTACCAATCCGTGATCAAACTTGATAAAAATCAAATCCCTAAGCTAATTCATACTTTAATAGGCCAAGTAGTCCTAAGCAGGCGAAGTTTTCAATCTTTTATTTTTAGAGTGCATTCGATTAAGTCATAGTTTTACACATCATCTTTAATAATTAGGGTACTTGTGTTTTCACTGTCAACTCTTCTAGATTATTGATCGGATCACAATAAATCTTCATCCTGAAAGCCTAACAAGAGTTTATCAATGTTCAACAGATTCGACTGACAAAATATTGCACTCCCAAATGAACACATACAGCAATAACAATAATAATAGTAATAATCACTTTAGAGTTGGTGAATTTCAAACTCATACTGATTGGAATATAACTAATCATCCGACATCTCTGAATACATCAATATCCCCATCCACAATAGAACCGGGTAAATATACAACATCAACGCATGTAAATATATCAGCAGAAGCCTTAGAAGCTACTGGTTTACAAGATGTTGGGCATATTGAAACAAATATCTTGAATTTTAAAGAGTCAATCAAAAAGGTGAGAAAAAAAGAGTTTTGGCGGGTTTTTAAAATTTTTCATTAAGCTTTTATTTATTTAACTCCTTCATCGAAAGGAGAGCTTGTTCTAGGTTTGTTGTCATCAAGGTAATTTTTGTTTTATCTCAAAATAACCGCGAGGAACTTGACCTTGAAAGTAAAACGAATATTATTTCGTAGCTGCGCAACAATCGTTTTACACTCTACATGACCGTCAGTAGTACAATATCTGAAATGATACTATACATCACTTTTTCAATAGTGGAACGCTTGACAAACATTTGGGGAAGTTTCAGGATTGATTTCCAGACGACACCACCCTTAAAGAAACCAAAATAAATAGGTTAAAGACCCATATTCGACTCGGAACTCAGAGAATGAAAAAGAAATGAACTAATGGGACATATTAAACTAATCAATCATATTTCAATGAGTCAAGAACTTCTGAGTGGGTAAAATTTGTAATCTTTTGTTTCAAAGATACATGCGATTAAACCACAGTGTTCCTATCACCTTAGATTAGAATTATGTAACATATGTATGATGAACAACTATGAATCTCCTTATTTTGTGTCTAGATATTAATAATATTAAATAATCGATAGATATCCTTCTCATGTTACCTCCAACTGTGTATACAAATTTACATGTATCTGCGGGAGCAGTTACATTGGAAGGACAGAAAGAAGGGCATATCTACAATTTTCTGAACATGTACCAAAAAGCTTGCGTCTAAAGGGAACAAATGCTTTAAACAGTGCTATCACCAGGCATCTTCTCGACACGGGTCATGAGGTGGACGTTGAAAAGTCGTTCAAAATTATCAATAAGCAAAATAGCTCAATTCTCCTTAAGTTTGCTGAAGCCATTTCCATCAAGCGCCTGTAACCTGATTTATGCGTCCAGAAAGAAGCGGTTATCAGCCTTTCTTTGCCCTGGTAACTGGATAATTTCACCTCTCTTTCATCCGAATGTGAAATGCTGAAAGTTTCCATTGTGTTTGATTATTATTGTTCGGAATAGTGTTTAATATTGCATATTTATATATGTATATATTTTTAGTGTATGCGTATATTGATCGATTGATTTTTGTTTAAACTGAACTCTATGCAAGTATGTTAAAATTGTTGTTGTAGATATATTTAATAATGTCTTTGCCATGTAAGCAGCTGATGAGAAGGCAACGAAATAAAAGATGGTACCATTTTATTCTGCTAAAACTGTAGTTCTTGCTTTGTTCAAATATTAATAAACATTAGAAAAAGGATGGCTCACACCATTATTGCAACAGGATTGGAAGGAAGGAAAGGTGCATACCAATTGGAAGAAAAGCTGACTGCCTAGTCAAGCTACCAAAGAAAGGCAACTTAGGCCTCTCTCTTCAAGAACTGGCGTGGAACCATGCTCTGGTCCATGTCAAGTGAAACACTAAGTCGCATTACCCTGTGGAGAATAAAACATGCACTGGATGCAGAACTGCGCTACTTACCGGAACAAGATGGATTCAGGAAAGGCAAATCATGTGCTGATTAAATTGCAACTCTGCGCATCGTCATCACAGAACAAAGCATAAAATGGCAGTCAACTCTTACTCTGTCCCAAATTCATCGACACTTCAAAAAGGCCTTCGACAGACAGTGTTGACTGAGAAGTAATTTGGAAACTACGTCAACACCACAATGTGCAGTGCCTAAGTCTTTATCAACCTCATTCAAAAGCTGACTATATGACAATTTCACCAACATTCAGGTGATATCCACAACGGAACACTCACTCAGTGAAGGCTTTGAAGTGAATACAGGAGTAAGATAAGGCTCGTTGCTTACTATCACCGATCATCAATCACTACTCTGCAACCAGTCTGGAAATCTTCTGCATTCAGGCAGCATAAACAACAAAATTTGGAATTCCTCCATATGGAACATAAATTTCCACTGCACGTGATTGAAGAAAAGCATTTCCAACAGTCCACTGCAGACTTTTATCAACAAGTTACATTTCCAGCTCCACAATGAAGATCAAATGACTAGTCAGAAGGAACTAGAGACAAGATGCTCTGGCTGGGGACAAACCAGCAGGCGAGAGCCGATAGCTCAACAAATACGTAGGGTAAAATGGAGATGGATTGGATAGTGTTGGCTTAGAGTGAAAAACAAATCTTCTGCTTGGATGACAAGCATTCAACCATTAGTCGCTGATACAGAAAATTACCACATGGCAAGTTGAATATCAGTCTACTTGCAGGAAAACAGAAGAAAAGATGCATCCGAATTTTCTATGTAATTTAATGAATACTTAGGAATTTGCTCCTTCATACGACTTCAGTTAATTCTATCTCTTCTACCTATATAATATACTTCCTTGTCAACTTCACATGAATTTATAGTACTAGTGTGGTGAGAGCAGGCCGTGAGAAAATATGAGCAAGGCTGATTCAACAACCAATCACAGCAAAGTTAACGTGGCAAAATATGATTTGCAGATAGAGAACTCTATTTATCGAGGAATCCTGAAACAACCAATCAGAAGCCTGCGTTTGTCTGCCTAACTTCTGATAAACAACCAATCAGATGACTGCACTTGTCTACTTGCATAAGCTATAATAATGTATGTGAAATATGTATAAATACGTGTTGATTTTCATAATAAAACGATCTGTTGCCTGGCCCTTGTCTACTCTTGTTACATTTGGTGTCGCTGCCTACCGACAAATGGAAAGCCTATGCCCTGCTGTTTTCAATGGAGACATATGGATCTTCGGGCAGGACTTCAAGGCTTCTGCGCAGTTGAGTGGCGTTCAAGATCTGTCAGCGATGGAGCTGCTACTTGGGACGCTGTTGGGAGGTCGGGTGAAAGCAGCATATGAAAGTGTGAGACGAAATACCTACGAATGTTCGACAGGGTCAGGCAAACAGTTTCCAAAGTGGGAAGGACCACATATGGTCACTTCGAGATGGGATTACGCGGACACAATCGCAATGGCGAACAATGAGAGGCGCGTGAACGTCAGCGAGCTCCAGAAATGGATACAGCGAGACAAGCCAATGATGACGCCTGCACCAAGTAGATCAAGCCGACTTCCATCGCACGTATTTGACGGGGGGACGAGTGTGGTGAGAGCAGGCCGTGAGAAAATATGAGCAAGGCTGATTCAACAACCAATCACAGCAAAGTTAACGTGGCAAAATATGATTTGCAGATAGAGAACTCTATTTATCGAGGAATCCTGAAACAACCAATCAGAAGCCTGCGTTTGTCTGCCTAACTTCTGATAAACAACCAATCAGATGACTGCACTTGTCTACTTGCATAAGCTATAATAATGTATGTGAAATATGTATAAATACGTGTTGATTTTCATAATAAAACGATCTGTTGCCTGGCCCTTGTCTTCTGTTGTTACACTAGGATCACATTCTTGGACACAGAGAGAAAAGCTATTCGAACGTATAACTTTACACAGATGTGCACCAGTTCGAGTTATACTATACTCCCTCCTTGTAACACACAAAACAAGAGAAGAGATTAAGTAAAGAGAGATTCAGAAGAGGGAGATGATAAACAGAACTATGAAGCGAAAGGAATAGTAATATGGTAGAATAATATAGTTTCATTTGATATAACAAATCACAAACAGTGAATGCATCGACTCCAGCCATAGCCGAGAACGATTTTGAGCCATATCACCAATTGTATCCAGCCTTAATTGGTTCTTACGATCCCGAGGACCATGACCAATCAGAAAGTCTACACTTACTTGCGTGACTGGCAGGCTTGAACTAACTGTTATGGATGAGGAAGCCATGTTTGGTTTGACTTCATAACCCCGTCTAATGATTTCCCCTCCAACTCACCTGGCAATCAACTGATGCCTAAACTCAATACTGCTCACCCTACCATACCACCACCTGACATGGGAGATAGGACTCAGACACCTTTGTTGAAAGACAGCTAGCCAGCCTTTTCATGTCTTCCACTTTCAATGGCTATGTTTCACAGCCAGCCATTAAAGGAGGACAGAGCGAACTGCTGGGCAATACACACGCCCTCTGGTCAACAGTCAACCAAACGGATATCATGTCTACTAAGCCAGAGATGGCCAGATGGCATATACAAAACGAGCCTTCTTTATTCACGCTGAGAGTTGGCTGAGGCAACTCCCCAAATAAGCAATGTGGTCAACACACTCGACCAAATTATTCCCTATATTTAAGCTAGGAGTCAATGTAGTCCAGTCGTGTAGCATCATTTTCCAGTTGACAACAGGAGCGAATTGCATGCCAAACATTTCAAGATAGGCTTCCGGGCACATGTTCAGACAATCTAACATGTGATATTCTCACTCTTCGTTCTCCGTCGTCCTCTGACTACATCAAAAAGCATAAATAAAACCTAACAATACCAACAGCAACAAAAACAGACAACAATCAGCCACCATAAATGGGACGAACCCAAAAGAACCAAACTCTTTACCTACCTACCTACCTACCTACCTACCTACCTACCTACCTACCTACCTACCTACCTACCTACCTACCTACCTACCTACCTACCTACCTACCTACCTACCTACCTACCTACCTACCTACCTACCTACCTACCTACCTACCTACCTACCTACCTACCTACCTACCTACCTACCTACCTACCTACCTACCTACCTACCTACCTACCTACCTACCTACCTACCTACCTACCTACCTACCTACCTACCTACCTACCTACCTACCTACCTACCTACCTACCTACCTACCTACCTACCTACCTACCTACCTACCTACCTACCTACCTACCTACCTACCTACCTACCTACCTACCTACCTACCTACCTACCTACCTACCTACCTACCTACCTACCTACCTACCTACCTACCTACCTACCTACCTACTACCTACCTACCTACCTACCTACCTACCTACCTACCTACCTACCTACCTACCTACCTACCTACCTACCTACCTACCTACCTACCTACCTACCTACCTACCTACCTACCTACCTACCTACCTACCTACCTACCTACCTACCTACCTACCTACCTACCTACCTACCTACCTACCTACCTACCTACCTACCTACCTACCTACCTACCTACCTACCTACCTACCTACCTACCTACCTACCTACCTACCTACCTACCTACCTACCTACCTACCTACCTACCTACCTACCTACCTACCTACCTACCTACCTACCTACCTACCTACCTACCTACCTACCTACCTACCTACCTACCTACCTACCTACCTACCTACCTACCTACCTACCTACCTACCTACCTACCTACCTACCTACCTACCTACCTACCTACCTACCTACCTACCTACCTACCTACCTACCTACCTACCTACCTACCTACCTACCTACCTACCTACCTACCTACCTACCTACCTACCTACCTACCTACCTACCTACCTACCTACCTACCTACCTACCTACCTACCTACCTACCTACCTACCTACCTACCTACCTACCTACCTACCTACCTACCTACCTACCTACCTACCTACCTGGGAAGCATCGTGTCAACTACAGTCGGAACTGACGAGGATATCAAAGCAAAGATCGGGAAAAGAAGACAAGCTCTCATGGCTCTCAAGTCTGTGTGGAAGTTAACAGCACTCAGCATCAAAAATAAGACCTGGATTTTCAAATGCCATGTGAATTCAGTGCTACATTATGGATCAGAAATTTGGCGCGTGATAAAGAGCACCTCAAACAAACTACAGACTTTCATTAACAGTTGTCTGTGTTCAATACTCAAGGTCAGGTGGCCAGAAAAGTTCAGCAATAAGGACCTCTGGCAATGAACGAACCAACCGAGTAGGAACCGATTCTGCAACAAATAAGCAGGAAGAAATGGAGATAGATTGTGGCCATACTCTGAAGAAACCATCAAATGACATCACTTTACAACCCATTGCTCGAGTGGAACCCGAAAGGGAAGCTGCGAGTTGGTCGTCCAATGGTGACTTGGAGGAGGTCATGTGAAGAGGAGATGAAAGCATGTGGGGAGACTTGGAGTCAGGTGAAAACTGTAGCAGAGAACCTAACGCAATGCAGACGTGCGGCTAAAGCACTTTATTCCTCTAGGAATTAAAGGAAAAATAATAATAATAAATAATCGAACTAACTGACAGTAGAATGGAACTTGAATGGGGAACGACGAATAGGGTGTCACTTCAAGTGTGACATGGCGCAGATCATTCGTGTGGATGGGGGAGGAATCAAAGCCTATAGTCAATCATGAAGCCAGCTAAACGAGACTTCAGAGAAATCAGTGAAATGGGAATGTACTTCGGAAGCTCTATGTTCCAATTAGAACACAAGGGAATGATAATAGTAATAATAATGTATGATCGATAACCTTCAAATTACCCATCTTTTTGATTTACTGAAGGATTTCATCATGAGCTGACATCTCTCGGTTAGAGAACCATTGGAAAACCTATGGGGAGTACTGGACAGCTGTTGCGTCCCCCCAGTTTGAGACTCTTTCTCAGTACATGCCTACAACACGGGGTTCGAACCCGGGACCTTCTAGTTACAAGACGATCTGACTCGTAGACCATTAAGCCACTGGGACTTGATGTTAGATCAAGATGAAATCCTCCCACTAATCAAACGAAATTCCCCCACAAAACCGATATTTTGAAAAATGCCCATCTTTTAATATTGAATAGTACTAATCTAATTTTCTTTTGAATATCATCAATATTTCAATTATAGATTTTACATTGGTTACAAGAAAACGGGGTATCGATTGACCAGCATACTGACATTAGGCCAAATATTCTACTCATCACAGAGAATCATCAATCTGTACGGAATGTACTACACGCTGAAGCTGCCTATCGTGGTTTGGATGGTGAACTGATGAATCGATCACCTTGGCTAGTGTATACGGATATCGTTGGTTGTTGTGAACAATTCATTCATCATAAGAATGACAGAGTTGATGATTTTGGGGATAGGCAGGAACAACAAGAACAACAAGAAAGTAAAGAACCTCAGTTACAAAATTTATTTGAAGCTGCTCGTGGTAAGTAAAAATTTATTTATCCTTTTTTGAGAACAAGCATATTTCTTTTGTAAGCAATAGTGTTTGAATTAACTGTAAGAATGAGGTTTTATTTGAAACCTCCTAGTGAATAAACAAAAAAACCATCCTTAATCTTGGACACTTTTATGGTTTCATTATCCTAAACAACCTTCTTTACAAAAATAAGGACTAACCCTTCCGATTGCAGTTTAAAGACTTTCGAGGCTTTGTCCTGTGCTTCTTTAACTGAACCTGAACTAGTTACGGGAACAGTCTTCACTTCCTTGGAGGTTTTTATTTGTAAACTGATAGTAGACATCAAAGATGGCGTTGTTTGATACAGGGTGATAGAATTCCCCATCGTCATTGGACAGGCTTAGCGAACCCAGCTGTCTTTTAAATAATCGCATTCCTGCTTTCTGTTTAACATGGAACTCACGAAATTTCAACTTTGTTTTCACCCTAAACTTATTTAAGACTGCCTTAGAGCAAGTCTTAACATCATTAAATTATTATTATTATTATTATTATTACTGTTTCCTTTTATTCCTAGAGGAACATAGGGCTTCAATCACGCACGTCTGCATTGCGTTTGGTCCTCCACCAACGTTTTCACTTGACTCCACGTCTGCACACATGCTTTCATCTCCTCTTCACACGACCTCCTCCATGTCACTCTGGCACTGATGACCAACTGACTCGCCGCCTCCCATTCGGTTGGGATCCACTCGAACGATGGCCTGACGTGTAATGTCACTCAGTTGATGGTTTGTTTTCTCAGAGTATGGCCAGCCAATCCACCTCGATTTCTTCCTGCTTATTTGTTGCACAATTGATTCCTGTTGGGTTGTGTTGGTTCGTTCATTGCCAGAGATCTCTGTTGCTAGTCGTTTCTCGTTATCTGATGTTGAGCGAAGACAGTTGTTGATGATGATGAAGGTCTGTAGTTTTTTCGCAGTGGCCTTCGTGACGCGGCATGGTAGCAAGTCTCTGATCCGTATGGTAGCACTGACTGACTTCACAGTGGAAGTTGAAGATGCGAATTTTATTTTTCATGCTGAATGCTGAATGTTGACCTCCACACAGACTTAACATGCTCAGAAACTAAACTTAGTTAAGAGTGATGACATGAAAATACGTAATAAAAAGGGACTTACTGGAGGTTCCTGGAGGTACATTCCATGTCAACATATTCTTGTTGTCCATAAAACGTTCCCTAAACATCTTCTATGAGCGTCTACCAGTCATATGATCTCATTATGTCGAGAACTGTAACCACCGAAACCGACTTGTTGTAGTCTGAACTCAGGGAAATCGATCTTTGCAGTCTACTGTATTGTTGAATAAGACTTCCATGTGCTGTGCACAATTACAAAATGCACTGACGATAGCTATATAGATTAAATTCTTTTTTGAATACAAAACAACTACTGTAGAAGAAAAATCAACCTTAAGAAGTACCTGAGCATCAAGAAAAATATTTCCAATAAAGTGGAATAAAAACCTCTGTCCACAAGAATCATTCACAAAACAATTCCAGCAGAAATCCCAAGGTCAGAATGTCATTCATTGATTCATTCAAACAAAGTTATTTTTTTATTCCTTTACGTTCCCAGTGGAACATACGGCTTCAAGCTAGAGGCTTGAAGTTTCGGTAGCAGTGGCGTTTTTATTTTTCATAGGATGAGTTTGCTAGCCGCCTCATGCCCAACCTTCCTTCTTTACCAGACGTATCACTGGCTTAGCGAGGTCTGGTTGTGAGTGTGTTGGTCGGGGATCGAACCGCGGACGACCCAAGTGGCTCGTGAGCATTCTACCGCTGTGCCATTGTTACCAAACAAAACTACCTTCGTAAAACAACATCTTATCAATATCATCATGTAACTACAAAGAGAAGCATTCAGGCCAGAGATTAAACAGGAACAAAGACAAATAATAAGGATTAAGTCAACATATGATACGGAAACGTCAGAACAATGATTTGCAGTCTAGGAGATAGATGTATAATAATTCCAAAGTGTAAAAGTTCACATTGAGTCATATGAAAAAAAGGGAGGACGTTCAGTGAAGAGATTCTTTTTAGTGAATTCATTCACATAGCTGTACAATCGCACTTATATATAATTATTTTTTTATGTGTGTGTGTATGAGGTTTGTCAAGTTTAGATAATTAATCAGGTAATACAAGAATGACTTAATGTAGAAACAAGGTTAGTTAGACAGTAACTAAATGTTTCAACTTAGGTCAGTACAGCAACAGAGGTAATTACACGTAGAGGCTGAGTAGATGTGGGGTAGGGAATAATGCCATTTAAATTAGACCTTAAATTGAGCAAATAAGTTAGATAACGTAAGATAAATGACTAGAAATTGAGCGTTGGTCAAATCAGTAATGGTGGCAATGAGGTGTAGAAATTAAATCGGGTGGGAGGAGAGGGCAGGAAAGTTGAAAATGCAAAATATTACAGTTGAGAAGTCAAAATAATACTAATGAAGAGACAGAAGTGAAAAGGATTTGGTAGAATTTACTTGTCGGGTAATAAGACAGATTACGTCCATTGCAAGTGTAGTGATTGAACGAACTTCTTCTGTATGCAGAGTTCAGGGCTTAGCAAGTGAATTGGCATTGTTTCTGCAGTTTGAAGAAGTCTGACTCTCACGCTTTTAGGAAGACTGTTTCGTATTCTGTAGACGAATTTGAAATTTGTTTAGGGTGTAGCTTGGTTGATCAAAAATCCAAATTAGTGTCATTGCTGTAAGTAAATCGTTCAGGAGGAATTTTCCAAGCAACTATTCTGTTAAACAAGCTTCTTTATTTATAAACACGCATGTGAACATAATTTGAAACCCAATGTATGCGGTATGCTTGTCGGTTTCAGGGTGTTGTGTTAGTAGTTGTCGTAAGGCACATGAGATTATGACTTAGTAGGAGCTGAAATGTCGTAGTCTTTCAGTGAGGGCTATTTGGGATCTCAAGTATTCAAAGTTATAATTCTTGGTGTTATAAAAGTTACTGGGAGAACATATATACATAGGAAAATCATAGTGCATTGCAGATTCTAACTGACATCCACCAAGATACAAGCATACGTAATCGCATTTATATTGTTAATACTTTTCCTTTGGGTTCCGATTGGAACGTAGGGATTCAACATCGAGTCTCCACTTTGTTCTATTCTCTATGATCCTCTTTACCTGGCCCCAAGATTTTCAACTCTCCACACGATCTCCTTTATGTCACGCTCCAAGTAACGCCCAATTTCATTATGGGTAAATTTTGTTTTGATAAAGTCTCACAGTGTTATACAGTAATGTTTTCTGTATACTGTACATTACTGTATAACACTGAGAGACTTTATCAAAACAAAATTTACCCATAATGGAATTGCACTCTACCACAGTGCACAGGTTTATTCTTATATCAATAACGCCTAATTTGTCATTTTCCACTCAACTTCCACTTGAGTGATTGCCTGTATTTTGCGCGATGTCATTCAACAATCTCCTAAATGTATGCCCGATCAATCTATCTCCATTTTATCCAACATATTTGTTGAGACATTGCCTTTCACTTGTTGGTTTGTACCCAGAAAGTGTTTCTTGTCGTTAATTCTTTCTGACCAGCCGGCTGATGATGATGATGATATGGTCTTCAGTATTGAGGTAGCGAAGACTTTTTGCTTCTCGTGGCACACAGGCCAAGCAAGTTTCTGACCTGTATTAAAAGAACTGACTGACTGACTTCACATTTGTGTTCAGCATCTGAATCTTGTTCTTTATTCTGGCTGGCTGAGTGAAGCAGAAGATTTTCGAACTGATTTCAGGTTGATGAATCCGTATCTCGCCTATCTGACTGTGACTGGCGTTGACATCTTCACCCGTTCTGACTGCCTGTGGTTGAACAGATGCTGCCTAGCCAGATAAGTAGAGGAAGTTACCACTATCAAATCTCTCCAGATGGTGATAGTGGTTGGTGTTGGTTGTTGTTGGTTGGTTGGTTGGTTAGATGTCTCCATCACCTGCGTCTTCTCTATGTTCATCTAGATTCCTATCTTTGCCGTCTGCCTGCTTCTTCAGCCAGTTTGTTGGTTTTCGCTTGTAATTCTCTCAGTTTATGTCACATTGAACATAAATCATCTAGGCGCGAAATCCAGATCTTCCAGAATCTTCTAATGACATTCATACTGAGTACTACTAAATCTTGGTATAATTATGTTATTGATCATTTTTCATTTTTGCCCTCATGTCTTACAGACTAGGCTGTTTTTCTTTCTTAAAACAAGGTGATACTGAAATCTGTGTGAATATAACTCAGGATTGTAAAAGGAAAACAAAAAAAACAAAACAAGAAAATGTAATTGATATGGAAATGTGTTAAATGCATTTCTCTCTACAGATTATCACCATTTTGGTCCCTCTGTGTCTCCCCCCCCCGCATCCCTACCATACATACACACGCGCGTACTTGTTTTGCATTGTTTTATATAAGAGGTAACAGCATAAAGAACCTAAATTTTTCAAGTATTGGTTTTGCAGAGATTTTGTGTTGAATGTTTGGAAGATTCCATCATGAACTGACGTCAGTTAGAGAACTATTTGAAAACCTGGGAGTACTGGACAGCACTTTCGTCCTAGTTTGGGACTCTTCAGCAGTACGCACCCACACCACGCGGTTCGAACCCAGGACCTTCTGGTTACAAGGCTAGCGAGCTCGTAGACCATTGAGCCACTGGGACCCGATTCAATGGTCCTTGAATTCTAACTTCTGCCAATTCACTATATAGCGCGACCACTTCGCAATGTCTTCTTCGATGAGTTACTGCCTCATCTTGAACCTGCTGTACCCTACTGGTCACGGCTTCCCACTAGAACCCCAGGTTAACTGCCTGAATAGGGCCAGTCACTAGTGAGCACAGAATAATTTTCAAGTATTGGTTCTGTAGGGATTTTGTTTGGTTGCATGGAGGATTTAATCATGTGGCAGTAACTCATCGAAGAAG